TATATATATATATTTTAGAAAAAGGCTCGGCGACGTCGCCGAGGCGCTTATATATATATATATATATATATATATATATATATATAATTTAAATAAACGAGGTGATGTCGCGTCGCCTCGGCGACGTCGGCTTTTAAATAAATTATATATATACATATATATATATATACATATATACATACATATATATATATATACATACATATATATATATATATACATACATATATATATATATATACATATATATATATATCGGTATACCGTTCCATACCGTATCGTACCGAGCGAACTTCGAAACGTCGGTACGATACGATATTTCGAACCTTGGAGCTAGGGCCTAAGCTATTCTTGGTTGCAGAACAAAACTGCTCTAGTGCATTTAGATTCTCCTTAAGCGCCATGTTGGTTAACTTTCCAAAAAATTTCTTAACAGCTATTGCTTTCATGTATACTATCAAAAACAAGAGAGGAAGGCTGCATCTCTAGTATTTTCTTCAACATAAACTATCGTTAATTTCCATTTGAGCAGGAGAAATGCATCATAGGTGGAAAATGTGACCAAATAGGCCTTAAACAGTGTTGTGGTGTCATCTTAGCAAAGCTTCATCCTCTTTTAGCATACAGATGAATTTAGTATTAGAAGAAATCTGAAACATGAAACAGGAATCTACCATGCAACAGGTTCCTTTTTGTTTTTCTTATATTTTGACTTTTTCTCTGCCCTTTTCAAAATTTGTAGGAGTGACTGGTTAGCTTTTATTGGATGTCTTTGATGAACATGCTTTGCAACTGATTCAAATATGTTTATTGTTTTCTACTGCAGTTTTGGATCTTTATGCATAGATTCATTTCCCCCCTTTCAGGTCTACAGTGGTCCACTCTACTACCATCCCTTCATTGGAACAACCAAATATGGGCTCTTCAAGGGATGGGCCAGCACACAAGAACTCTCGAGATATTGGAAGGTCATCTGGAAGAATAGCAAGGGCTTCACAGGCACCTCAAAGGATCCCAACTGGTAATTGCTTAAATGCAAGATTGGCCGCAAGTAATTGTGATGCTGTTGCACACCGATAATCTAGTATTTTGCTTTATATTTCCAGCTAGGCCAGGAAAAGTTGTTGGTCCAATAATGCCAAAGGAAAGTGGGAGTATGAAGGATGCCTATGACCGTAGGCGTTTCACTAGGAACCCTGTTCTTCCAGTGGAACCAGCCATTCCTCCATATTGTTTTCATAGTACCACTGGCAGGTCAGAGAACTCACACAGAGACCCAATAGATGCTGAACGTGAACGGGGACCCATACATCATAGACCGTCCCAACCAGGCATGACTAGTAAGTTGACTCCAGATATAGCTCTTGACACAAGAGCTGCCCCCTTTTATCTTGCAGGACCCAAGGCTGATTCAGCTGAGAGAAATACCATGGAGGCAAACGTGTTACAGGCAAAATCCCCATTTAATGGGATTGTCACAGCAGCTGGTGGTGGTGGTGGTCATAGAAAGGTTGGTACTCTTCAGTTTGGCATGGCTAGGATGTATTAAGCACCGCGAGCTGATCAATAAGCCATCTTGATGAGCAATACTCGCACTCAAACATTCAATTCAAGGCTTTCCAATAGGAAGACTGGAGAGCATACAAGGGAAAGAAGAAAATTACAGAGAGGGAAAGAATGTGATATAAGCGACAGCTTCCTACTTGCAATGCACATTGCTACAGTAAGTGGGAACAGTTTAAAAGTTCATCTTTGCTTACTGCTGCAAATTTGGTTTCTAGTAGATTAATCGCGACCAGGTTTCTTATGGCACACTTGTACTTAATTCTTTGGAGGTGCAGGAAATGTCTATGGATGGAACTATACATGATGGAGGGGCCCAGTAATGTAAAGTGGCTTACATTGGCAGGACTAAGGCAAGTTCTTTGAGTTCACCTCTGTATGAATAGCTGGAATAAGCAATCCACCAGGAACTTCATATCGGATGGCTTTTTTGTGCTTCTCTTTATGTTCGTTATTTTTCTGTGGACGGTTTGCACATATGTTGTTTATGTTTTGACGTGTGTTTCTTTTAGGGAACATAGCTCATGAGAAGTTTCCTGAATACCATTTTCGTGCATTTTGTGGAAAAAAACTCTTTTAGATATCTAGCAATGAGGCTAACACTGCGATGTTTCTGATGCTGACAAATAATTTGAGATTGGTTTGTGAAGGAAATCTAGCAATTTTCAAATTAAATATGAAAATAGAGCTGGATGGAAAGAATTGTTCGATGCAATTAATCTTCTTGATATTCTATGATTTGATTGGTTATCGATATGACCTTGTCAGTAAGAATAAAAAATGAAAAAAAGGGGTGAGATTTTGCTTGGTTATTGATGCAATTAATCTTTTGGATTTAGTTTCAGGGTAGAATTATGGTATGGCTGAATTTTAACCTTTCCTATCGATGAAAGTTTCATCTCAATCCATAAATTAGTTGAGGTTTTCTATTATTGCATGGACTGTGATTTGGTGAGGAAAAGAAGGGGATAAGGACATAGATAATCTGTTTTGCTTGATGACATGTAAATATTTTACTATTTTTGTAAGAAAACCTTCTAGTTGGTCTCTTTTTTTTCATTAAAAAGAATAACTTTTAATTTGGGATAATTATAAATGAGGATTATATTTCAAGACTAAAGTCAAAAACTTATATTTGTATCAGAAGACCCTTTTTAGAATTTTAAATTACACTCTTAGTTCCATTGATTTTTATTTTATTTTTAAATCAACATGCATTCTCAAATAGGGAGATCAACATCCCTATTTGCAGCCATGACTAAATTTTTTACGTTTGCCAATCCTATCTTACTTACATGCAACATATAATAATTAGTTTAAATGACAAGTATGTTTGAGCATCTATCGTCTCATAGACGTTGAATCTCGTATTTTGATAATAAAACCAATTGATAGTATTTATGATTTGATCTGCGTGATGCTTCGATCAGGATGAGACAATTAAAGCAGGAAGAATCATGTTGCGCTGGAAGAAAACATGTCAGAAGATTGGACGTTGGGTTGGAGGATCAATCGACATATCGATAGAAGGCTTCGGGCCATGGATTCGGGCATCGGGCCAAGAAGAGCGGATATTGCGCCAAGGATATCGGAATTGCGGAGTCAACTGGTCGATTGGGCAATAGGCCGCAAGAGAGGACGAAGCGTCGAAGAACTAATAACATGTCGGACAACATAATTAATGCTTAGTATTAATTGTCTAGATCGAAGTGTGTTTTACATGTGCATGATTAAGTACGATAGCAAGGCATGAAACAAAATGAAATCTCGAAGTCAAGGACGCGATTTCGTTGGGAGTTCAAGAGTTCGTCGGAAGTCTGGACGTTCGTCGGAAGTTCTGTCGGAACCAGTCGAGAAGTCTCGGAGCTTACCATAGAAGCTCGTCGGAACTCTCCAAGAAGATCGTCGTAAAATCCGAGAGCTTGCCGGGAGTCCGTTGGAACATTGTCGAGAGATCGTCGGAAGTTCGCCGGAAGAAACTAGACTTACGGACTTGTTTAGCTTAGAATATGTCTTAGGAATTGTAGTTAGCACATAATTAGGTTTGAATTTGGGCTAACCCAATTAGGGGCCAGTTGGGCCCATGTAAAAACTATGTTGGGCCCAATGAAAAGGCCCAAATAATGCCCCAAGAGGTGACACCTTCGTGATATAGTCTCCGAGACTGTGTCAGGCGGTGGTATCGCTCAGACACAGCCTTCGAGAGGCTATAAGCAGTGGTACCGCCAGTCTGGCGGTGGTACCACCCAGTGTCAGGCGATGGTACCGCCAGACTGGGCGGTGGTACCGTCCAGTGTAGTGTTAGTGTCAGACTGGCACTAGCGGTGGTACCGCCTAGACCTAGGAAACCCGGGATGAGATGTTTTTAGGCTCCAAGTTTGAATCAACTTGAGACCTATAAATATCCCTCTCATCCCTGGTTAAAAATACACAAGACTTGAGAGTAAAAATAGAAAGAAACGCTACTGCAATCTTGTGCGAACTCTTCTCAAAAGTTTTAAGTGTTAGAATAGTTTAAGAGAGGAGTAAGTGGGGGTGTAAGGGTTATCTCCTAAACCCGGTAAAAGGAGAATCGAGTTGTAAAAGGTGGTTGGTCTTTGCCTATTGAAGGAAGATCGATAGTGGATGCCGGTGGCCTCGACGGAAGAGGAATCGGCGAAGTGGATGTAGGTCACGACAACCGAACCACTATAAAAATCTGGTTTGCTTTACTTTGAGCAATTTACTTTAAACTGTAAACTGCCTTCTCATTACTTGCTACGCTCCTCTTATTGCTTTCAAAGTTCAGCATTTCCGAAATTGGTTTTATCATACGAAACGAAGAAATTTTTGTAACCGACGTGATTTGACCGTTGCACTAATTCACCCCCCCCTCTTAGTGCTGACCCCTTTCCTAATAATTGGTATCAGAGCCTCGTGATTTCTCATTTGGTTTAACACCCAACGAGAAATGACTCTTTTCGGCTTTCAAGAGGGTCACTCTCTCATTCGTCCTCCCTTTTTCAATGGGCCGGACTATACTTATTGGAAAACTCGAATGAGAGTTTTCTTATTTTCATTGAATCTCGATTTATGACATATAGTCAAATTTGGTTTTCAAATGTCTTCTCTTCCAATGAACCATTGGAATGATTTGGAGAAGAAGATTTTTTCTCTAAATGCTAGAGCTATGAACGCTCTATTTTGCGCTTTGGATAAAACTGAGTTTAATCGAATTTCTGTGCGAAACGACTTTTGACATATGACACACTCTCAAAATCACACACGAAGGCACTAATAGAGTAAAAGATTCGAAGATTAATTTTTTAATACATGATTTCAAGCTGTTTCAAATGAAACCAAGTGAGACTATTGGAGACATGAACACCCGTTTTACGGATGTCGTCAATAGTTTAAAAGTTCTTGGTAAAAATTTTTTGAATTTTGAACTCGTTAACAAGATTTTATGATCGCTTTCTAAGAATTGGGATTCGAAAATAACGGCTATACAAGAATAAAAATTTTTGAATACCTTTTTTATCAAAGAACTTATCGGGTCTCTAATGACCTATGAAATGACGTGCAATGCACGTAAAGAACTTTGAGAACCACTTTCCAAAGAACAGGAAGTGATGGTGAATATGAACTCCTCACTATGAAATTTAAAAGGTTCATGAAACAAGAGTTAAAGAACAAAAATAAACTTAAAAAGAACGCAACTACTTGCTATGAACGCAAGAAGAAGGAAGCTCTCTAGGACGAATTAAGCTCATCCGAAGACGAGGAGAAAATTAACAAAGGCGAGGTGACAAACTACGTCTTAACGGCTTTCGACGATGAGGTAATCAAAATGCCTTTAATTTATTTTGAAATTACATTATGCTTTTCATGAGTTATTTTTAATTTAGTTTAAAATAATTATTTTTCTTAAAAATTACGTGTTTAATAATGTAATAAAAATATAAAAAATTAGGAATCATGCTTATCATCCTAGTAATTTTGAAAATGATAATGACAAATGCATGTTTCATGATAAATAAACAAAATGATTTTGAATGCTTTGTGAAATCATGTTTGATTTGATGTAATAATATAAGTATCATGCTTGATGAATTTATATTTAATTAAGCATGATGATTCGAAGAAATAGTGTAAGTGTTGACGATTATATATTTAATGATGCATAATGATGTAATGAAAATATTAAATGTTGTAATACCATGATTGACGATTTTATGCATGAGATTTTAAAGTTATACATTTTTGTGAATTATTGATCTTGATGATTTTTATGATGATAAATCTTGCAGTTTTATTTTAAACGATGATATATATATTTTGATTTGGCATAAAAAGGATAAAGGCATGCTTGTATGAAACAAACTAAAAAGAGGAAACCTTTCTCTTTGAAAAATTTCTCTATTTTATCGATTTTTTCAAAAAAGAGATTAATGAATCTATTTGTATCACTTTTATGAATCTCTTAAAAATGATTTTGATTTGACGATTTGAATTTGAATGAGTTTTATTCAAATCATAATCTTGAATTCTTCAAATTACTTGAGATTTTTTTCTTAATCAAGATCTCTTCTTTTTACCCCTACAATTTTTCTTGATATTTTATTTAAGAGGAGATCGACTATATGAATCATGTTTTTTGATTTTTACATGATCTTATCTTTCATGATATGATTTATTTTTGTATAACTCCTTATATTCATCACCCAATTAATTTTTCTTGATGAGATGAAATGAATATGATGAAATGAAATTATGCATGAAATACTCATAATATTATTTTGATGCTCTAAAATGATTTAAAATTTGTTAGCTTACGAGTATGATATGATTATAATGATGATTGATTTATTTTTTTTATATCATGCATGAAAAATGAAATGTAAGGTTTTGAAATTATGCATGTTTTAATTTTAAACTATCGTGATGCACAAACATATTGAAAAGGGATTGATACTTCAACTTTGTTATGATTTAAAAATTATTGTAAAGGGAAAAGAATTACAATATTGTATTCTTCTCTTTTTTTGACGATGACAAAAGGGTAGAAAAATTGCTAGCTCAAGATATAAAATTTGGAAACTTATATATTGCAAAAGAAGTAAACTTGCTAGCTTGCTCATATCAAACGAGAAGCAAGAAGTGCTATTTTGCAAATCTTAAGACGCACAAATGCAAACTTGCAAACATTGTAAGTTTGTACATCTTTAAAATTTATGATAATTTGATGATTATGTATGTTCTAAAATATTATAAGATTCACTAGCTTGCATGATATAGAACTTATTATCTTGAACATCACCGAGAAGTGCTATCTTGCCTATCTCAAGAAGCAAAAAATGTTAACTTGCACATCTAGCAAGATTTATAAACTTGTATATTTCAAGAAGCAAGAGTTGCTTTCATGAACATCTCAAAATTGCTAGCTTGCATGTTTTAAAATATTATAAAATTATTGCTAGCTTGCATGATGATAAAATTGGAGATTTATGATGTAATATTTTGAACTTATATCACAACACTTGATAGTTGGTACTTCTCATTTTTATTGATGATAAAAGGGGAGAAGTATGATCATGTTATGCA